TGATGCGGGTAGATTTAGTGTGTAAATTTTGCTCATATTTTTCTATATTACAAAATACACAAGACAGATATAATAATAAATATTGAATGTAATCTTAAAAAAATACCTTTTAAAATGCCAAATCCTTTTTAAAATCAACACAAGCATACATATCGCTTAAGTAATAATGGGCTCTAGTGGAGCCATAGATATCGATCACACAGTGAAGTTGAAAAAACCTATAAGAAAATTCTTAAAATTATTATATAATTTAAAAAAAATACAAAAATAAAAGTAAAGTACGAAGTTTGAATATTAACTACTAAGGTGAATGCTATATAAAATGTAGTTGAAAGATAGAGTTAACTAAGTAAAAATAAAGTTTCAAAAATAAAATTATGAAAGTTATCTAAGGTGAATGCTCATTCTTTTCTTCTTACAAGAAACTCTAAAATTCTTAATACTTCAAAAATACAACTTGCTTTACTTTAAATAGAAAAACTTAGTCTTATCCTATCATACCAAATATCTTCAACTTTAGAATTGACCTTTATTATTTAAAACTTCTTACCTAAATTTACCATAATATTTATAAACATAAGTATAGACATTTAAAGTTAGATCGTAATATCCCCAAGTCATGCTGAATATATTTTAAAAATATTGTTAATTAAGGACAAATAAAATTTAGTTTATTTCTTTTTTAAATAAATTTTTCTTCCTTCCAAACGTAAGTTCTTAAGTAATTTTTAAAAAAGGTTTTAGTACAAAATTTAGTAAGTGAAAGTAAACAGTAAATGCATGAAAAATAAAAACGGACTTGTAGAGGATTTCTGATTATGAAACTGGGTTGTAGTATACTGCAGGTAATAACTTTAAAAACATACAGGCTTTAAAGCATTAACTGAAACATAATATATTCTAAAGAATCTGTTGAGAATTAAAATTAAAAACATAAAAACTGAAAAAATAAAATTGAAAATACCAAAAAAGCAGAGAAAATAAAAGTTTATAGTTACTATTACAATTATGTCCACAACACAATAAGAATGTTTTTACTACAACAATTCTCAAATGAGAATCTTTCAATCACAAATAACAAATAAACATAGAAATAAACTAAACTTGACTTATAAAATTATCAGCCTTCATCTTTTTCCTCGTCATCAACATCTTCTTCTTCTTCTTCTTCCTCATCTTCATCCCAAATAGAAGTATAGGGAGTCAACCTGGGACAAGGAGGAAATTGCACATTGAGCTCTCCCCTGAGATGTCTCACCATAGCATTTTCAAAATAATTATCATACTAAACTTTCCTCTACTGATATTCATCATTATAAACATTTCTTGGTCAAATCTCTCCCAACTAACCTTGAATATTAATTATGTCCATCGGCTGAATAATGAGTTGGTCCATAATGTTTTCTAATTATGCAAGGCGAGCAGTAGATCCTCTTGCAGTTGATGTTGAAGGTCTATCCCTTCTTCCCACTCTAGAGTCAACAAATGATTCAACTCTTTGAATCATATGCCTCTTAATAAGATTTTGTGGTTGTAATCTTACTTCATTTCTATGGTACTCTACTCATGATTGTTCACATTAGGTGAAAATCAAAGCAGGGTATCCCAAACCACTAACTGTAGAACTACCAGCTATACTTCGAGCATGATGAACTATAAGTGCCCCAAAATCTATTGGTTTCATGTTTTGAATGCAATGGTTCAACTCCACTCTATTTTTCGTAACATCAACAAGATGATTCATTGACAATAATCTATCAGAAATCAAGTGATGTTATACTTTTGACTGGCTAGTCAACATAGAAGCATGGAAGTCAACTATCTTGTTATTCTTAATCATCCACTCTCCTCTTTCATCAGTCAAAAAGGTAAGTACTTCTTCTAGTGATGAATCAGTCATCATGAATGCAGCATATTCAACAAAAATACACTTTTCAGTTCATAAAAAGTATTGATCTGATCAACAGTAAATTAAACATGTTTACCTCTAACCAGTATGTGGTCATCAGCAATGAACCTCAAGTTTTAATAATGCAAATTCTCTTTCTTGGATCAATCTTCTGCTCTCCAGTTGTGTATTATAATTATGTTGGGCCTTAAAGTTAACAAATCTTCATGAATCAAAATCCTTGGACGTGCTTCATCTCTTAACTCGGGGAGCCATTGGAAACTATATGAAAATTCAAATAAATTCCAAACAAATTATAAAATAAAAAATCTAACACCTTAAGCAAGATTATTTGGTAAGAACCTTTTCACCGTAAGTTATCTTCAGGTCTTTTCATCAAAAATCACAATTTTCAGATCTTCCATAATGTAGGAAAAATTCATGGTGAAAGTAAAAAATTTCTAAGTTAAGGTAGAGCTCTTACGAAGAGAAGAAGAAATCTACGATTTTAAGCCTTCAAATATCTTCCAAGCAGTACTTAAAGCAGTCTAACTTAACAAACTAATGCAAGTAGTACTTAAACAAAACGTTTCGTGCATAATTAAGTTCAAATATCCTCTTTACTCTTGTCCTCCTAGATGTCTCTCATCAATTGGTAGTGTACATATAGGTTGTAGAATGGTCGATATGGAAACTCATCAGTTTAATCTTCTACAATCCAAAAATGTTTCTTGAGCATATGTACCAAACCATCTTCAATACGCCAAGTATGTTCAAAATTTTCCTTTATTCTCCAGTTCAGATGATCCAGGATTTCTAAAATATTCTCAATCACATGTATAAGATTCTGTACCTCTTTCTTTATCTTCTTCGTTCTCTTCAAAAGTGCATTAGAATTATAGTAAGGCTGAATAGGTGATGAATTATGGGATTCCTGATCCATCAGCAAAGTCATATCATTTTCATCTCCCATTCTAATACAATTGTAATAGACTTCAGTATCCATCAGCTTCCAAGGAAGAAGCATATTTTCCAAACTATCATAAGGTTCTTGCGATTGACAGCACAGTAGGAAAATAGTAGATGGATGTCCAAGTTTAGTTGAAGATCCATTCACAATCAAACCTAAAACTGATTTTACAATTATGGCTCCAATATCAATAAGTTTCTCAGTTTGAATACAGTAGTTCAGAATGACACTCTCCTTAGTTACCTTACTAATTTTCATGGGTGGGCAGTAAATTTGAAGCAATAAAGAAGTGTCATGCCTTAGAAGTACAACTTAACAATGATAATGAAAATCCTACATTCCCATCATCTCTGGCCTTCCAATCCACATCTTCATCCATAAGGTATTGGTAGAGTTCATTCATGTTGTCTCTCGTAGGGTAAAATTTGCATAATGGAAGATAGGCACATTTTTAATCATAAACACCTCGTTTATTCTTGAAGAAGTGAACTGCACAAGCATGCCTTACACATAGACTACTCCTTGGTTGGTCCCAAGAAGATTAGCATAAAACTCTTCTACCACAGGGACGACTACAACGATAGTAGCGTAGCAAAGAACTTCCTAGAATCTCTACGTAATAATCTCTTACACTCAAGTATTCAGTGTGATGAATCCTTGATTCACAAATCCACTTTCTTTAATTAGCCTATCCTTCACTAGAACTCGATCATGTAATTTTTGGGCATCGAAAGTGACAAAATTTTTCTTATTGAAATTTTAAATCTCGTAGTGTTTTTGGATTGGGGTGCTAATGGATTTGAAATCTAGTGATTTTCCCTTATTTTTCCTCTTTAAAATGTACTTTGGATTCAGTGACTTAAGATTACATTTTTAGGAGTTATAAGGAGAAGAAACAGCCAAAAATCTCCTTGTGAAATGCTTAAGTCATTTTTGTCGCTGCGACACATCATGTGCCAAATTTGGCGCATCATGCGCCAGCTCTCTAGAATTTGGCGCATCATGCACCAGTTCCAAAAGCTACACAACTTTGATTTTGATCGAATAAAATCTCAATTTTTTCATAAAATTAGGCAAATAAAGATGTTTCTAAATATTTTTCTCAAATACACGGACTTCATAAATACCTAAACAAAAAATATATGTAAAAACAAAAAACTCAAAAGTAAACAAAACAATAATTTGTATGGGTTGCCTCCTACAAAGAACTTGGTTTAATGTCATCAACTTGACATTCCCAGTCTCATTTTGGGTGACCCAATATTACGGTTTCTTTAAAACTGCTCTTTGACCATCAAAACATGGTTTCAATCTGTGCACATTCACTTGAAATATTTTATAATTTTGAATGCACTTTCCACCTAAACTTCAATGTTCCAGGAAATAACTTCAACCCTGTATTATGTAATATGACTTCTTGTCCATGTTCAAATTCTCTTTTTATTATCTTTCATTCATGCCATTTTTCCATCTTTTACTTATAAATCCTCGCATTATCATAAGATTCATTTCTAATTTTCTCAAGTTCATTCAATTGTAATAATCTTTTCTCACCAACTTCTTTCAAATTAAAATTGAATTCTTTTATAGCCTAATAAGCTTTATGCTCCAATTTAACTGGTAAGTGACAAGTCTTTCCAAAAATTAATCAATATGAGTACATTCCTATATGTGTTTTATAAGCAGCGCTGTATGCTCATAATGTCGTATCTAATCTAACAGATCAATCCATTTTATTAGGATTAACACTCTTTTCTAAAATACTCTTAATTTCACGATTAGATATTTCTGCTAAACCACTAGTTTGGAGATTATAAGTAGGTGCAATTTTATGCATTATATTATATTTTTCCACCATTCATGCAATTGTTGCATTCCTAAAATGAGATTCTCCATTGGAAATGATTATTCTCGGCATTCCATATATTTTAAGAATATTTTTAATTAAAAATTTTGAAATACTCAGAGCATCACATCTAGGTAAAGTGATTGCTTCAATCCATTTTGAAACATCATCCACAACAATCAATATATTTTTTTTATGTAAGGAGCATAGCTCCAATTCATTAAATGTAGCCAAGTACAAAGAGAAGGAAGGTGACAGGAGAGGGCCTTTATAAAGGGAAGCACCTCTCTAACCTATTACACATACTTCCTAAGATAAGGGATAGGCAAACGATCACTGGATAAAAGGAAGTCCAGTGGGGGGGGAATTCTTCTACTAACTAGTGGAACTTCTGTAAAAAGTCCCCTCCTAGCTAGCCAGTTGGCTGGTCTGTTTCCTTCTCTGTGAATATGAGAAAACTTTAGAGAGCAAACTGTAAGCAGTTGATGAATACCAGACATCCAGCAGATTAAATTCCATGGAGTTTTTGAGATCCCATGGAGGATGTTAATAAGTTGCAAGGAGTCAGATTCAACCCATAACTGATCAAGCAAGCAAGATCTGGCTAAGTTGAGGGCCCAGAAAACTGCTTGACATTCTGCCTCAAGTGAGTCAACAGCCTTGATTGGAGATTGGAAATATAAGATGCATTTCCCCTCATGGTTCCTAAAAACCCCACCAATGCCTGCAGACTGGGATTTATGGCTGCCATCTATGTTAATTTTGATCCAACCAAGCTTTGGGAGAGTCCAGCAGATAGTCACAACTTTGGAAGTTTGAGGCTTGAGAAAAGAAAAAATCTCCAACAGAGTCTTATACTTTTTAAAGTTGATCAGTTTTTGAATAAAAGCAATACAATTTAGACCCACCCTCTTAGGATCAATAAGGGAGCTATCATGCTTTGCCTGGTTCCTTGCCATCCACACAAACCATGCCACAATATTGGGGATGTCCTGGAGTTCAGCACCCCTCCAATCAGCCCAGCTAGTATAGAACATCTTCCATGTGAGGTGCAAGGTTGGGATTCTAAGTTTACCAATCACAAATGACCAAACATCCTGTACCCAATGACACTCAAAGAATATATATATATATATATATATATATATATATACATATACATATATATATAAAGGTGAAATTATATTAATAAACTAAAGAGGTTACAACTCTAAGCTATTGGGGCCCCTAGAAGATCTCCATGTAACAAAAGGGAGAGAGGAGGGGTGGGGAGGATGAGACAAAGGCACTATCAGAATTTAAGGCTAATCTAGCAAGCCAATTGACAAGCTTGTTCCTTTCTTTGTAGTTAAAGATAAATGTTAAATGTCATTTTTCTTAAAGGAGGTTGATGGCTTTTAACCATTGCATTACATGCCATGAATGAGGGGTAACACCTCTAATCATTTGGGTGATGTTTTTGGAATCAGTTTCCACAAGAAGATACTCCCATTTCATGTTAATAGCAATCTTGATGGCCCCAAAGGCAACAACTGCTTCTATCTCCAAAGCATCTTGTGCAAGCATAAGGCAATAGAAAAATAGTTTACATAAACCTTTTGTGTCTCTGAAGATGCCTCCAAAGCCAGCAGTAGAGTTATTGTAACCTGTGTTAACTTTAATATAGGGGTATGTAGGCTTGAGCCAATAAACTTTAGAAACAGTGAAAGAAGAAGAGGTGTCTTGTGACTGATGTGTGGAGTTCCATAGATCAAGAAAACTTTTAAGTGTTACCAATTTGGTTATGAATGCCTTGCAGTTAACCACAGTGTGAGCCACTTGAGAGAGAGAGTCTTCATATTTAGCTATGTTTCTGGCCATCCAGAGAAACCAAGCTATAGTGCAAAGCACACTGAACATTTTAAGTTTACACCAGTCACTCCAGCTGGATTCCAATGTGGCCCAACCCAAAGAAATCATGTTAAATTTCAGATTCTGTGTTAGTTCCTTCCAGACCCGTTGAGCAAATTTGCAATTGAAAAATAGATGGGAAATTGATTTAGTTTCAGAGTGGCATAGATAGCATCTCAAAGGACCTCTCAAACCCTTAAGTTTAAGGATGTCATCTATAGAAAGTAGTTTCAACAACACTCTCCAATTGAAAAAGGACATAGAAGGGGTATGAAACTTATTCCAGATATATTTTCCCCAAGGAATAGTCACCCAAGTAAACAAATTAGCATAGAAAGCTTTAGACAAGGATTTTTTTTTGCAGTTGTTCAGTACCAATTTATCTTCAGTTTCTCTATTGAACTAAATTTTGGAGATGCACTCAGCAACAGTGGGAGGGAGCATAGCCTTTAGAGAGTCCAGGCACCAAGAGTTGTCTGACCAACAGTCAAAAACTAAAAGATCTTATCAATAACAGTAGGTTTGGGCAACAATAGGTCTTGGGGGCACCAATTGTCCAACCAAAAAAGGATTCTGCCATTTCCAGGATCCCAAAAGAAAAGATCCTTAGCTTTCGGTCTGACTTTCAACAATTGCACCCAAATTCTAGAGTCTCCCTGTTTCCTATTAACTAAGCTGCGGTGTGAGTGTCTACAATACTTACCCTTCATAAATATAGCCCCTAAAGCTTGTTGTTGTCTGAATTTAATTCAGAGCTTGCGCAAATTCACCTGCTGAAGATGGAACAGACCCTTAAAGCGTAGTCCCCCAGCAATGGCTGGCTTAGCCACTCTTTGCCAGTTGGCCAAACGAAGTTGTTGTCTTTGTCCCGACCATAAGAATCTATTGAAGCTTTTTTCCATGAGTTATTGTGTAGACTTCTTCATAACTGACAAGTGTAGTATGTAGGAAGGGAAGCATGTTAAAATACTTTTGAGGAGAACAACCCTCCCTCCATTAGACAGAAATGAGTTACTCGAGCAGTTGACTTGAGAATCAATTTTGGAAGTGACATCATCAAATTGAACAAGTTTAGTTCTGCCCTTAATAATCGGTACTCTTAGATATTTGAAGGGAGGGTCTGAAGTTATAAAGAGAATTTCTTGTGATATCCATTGTTTAACTATAGGGTTAGCTTTTTTACCAAAAAATAATTGGCATTTAGATGAGTTGAAGTGCACACCAAAAGTCATTTGGAAATGATTAATGCAATGTTGCAAAATCTGGATAGCTGATTTGTTGGCTTTAGAAAAAAGTATAAGATCATCAACATAGATTAGATGTGTAACAACCACATTATACTTATGACGATATCAGGCATAAGAGTAACCATCCCCTTAACAAATGCAGTTTGATTAGGCCTTATATGATTAGGAAGATGAGGTTGAAGCCTAGCAACAACAATCCTACTAATGATCTTACAACGGACTTTGGTAAGGCTAATAGGGCTATAATTTCCCCACTTACTGCATATAGTGGTTTTTGGTATTAGGACATAAGATGAGGAGAAGAAATAATTAGGAAGAGGGTGACCCAAACAGAAGCTTTGGAAAGTAGCGACCACATCCTTCTTGATGACATGCCATGATTTCTTATAGAGTACAAAGGTATACTCATCTGACCCAGCTACTTTAGCATTATCAATATCTTATAAAGCATCCCAGACATCAGTTTCTGAAGGCTAGTCAGTGAGTTGGAGAGTTACAGTATAATTGAGATCCTCCTGGAAGACCTACAGATCTAGAGGATTGATTTCCTGGGAAGGGACTGTGAGAACATCCTTAAATTAACTAACAGCACTATCAGCAATGCTCCCAAACTCAGTGAGCCATTCTCCATCCTTATCTTTGATTCTGTGAATAGTATTACATTTCCTTCTGTATTTTGTACAAGAATTATAGTACTTAGTGTTTTTGTCTCCTCCTATGAATCTGCTCATAGCAGCCTTCTGCCTTAGATATTGCACCAACCTTTCAGTTTCCATAAGAACTTTCTCAGCTCCAGCCCAGAGGGATGCTTCATCAGATTCACTAGCTTCCAATCCAACTTCCAATAGTGTGAGTTTTTTCTCAGCCACCTCCACATTCTTAAACACATTACCAACTTTATTCTAGTTCCAATGCTTAAGAGTTTTTGGCTAACTTTTTCTGCAAATACCATAGATTAAAGAGGGGATTAGTATGGTTAACACTACCCCCGTTATCTTTAACCAGATTAAGAAAATTAGGATGGTCAACTCACATATTTTGAAACCTAAAAGGAGGTCTACCAGTGGGTGGACTACCAGTAATGTTAAGCAATAGAGGTCTGTGATAAGATTCCACTAAACTGAGATGTGTAACATAAGTATGCAAGTAGTTTTGGAATCGGAGGTGTAACATTAGGCTAATTTTAGTTTAGACTGCCTTAGTGTTCAAAGCTTTTATTAAGATTTTAAAAATAAAAAAAATTTAGCATTGGCGCATAAGCGCCGAATCTAGCGCTTAGGTGCCAGATTGCGTGAACTGCAAAAACCGGTCTAAAATCATAAAAAATAAGCCCAATTTTTGCCATTGTTTCACTTGTTTAGTTATTTTCATCGTGAGGCACACCGAGCATCACCCCAGGGCTTCTCCACAATGATTTTTAATGTGATTTCGCGGATTGAAAATCTTTGATTTCATCTTCTTCAAATAAGAGCTTTACTTTGACCTTAAAAATTTTTATTCTCACCATAGATTCCTTCTACATTGGGGAAATACCCAAAAATTGAAATAATTTGAGAAATATAGTGAAGAATCCATGGTGTGAAGTTTATTTATTTTGATTTCAATTTTAGGAGCTCATAAAACTTTATTATGAATTTATTAAGATTTATTGTGGTTGTTTTATAAATATTCATGGCTTCTAAATTGAAGAGGGGAAAAGGAAAGGTTGATTTTGATTAAGCAATATTTACTTGTCTTAAAGCCCAATATAAATATAATACTGAGTTCACTACCTTAAAGTTAATCCAAGAGCGAGCTTTCTTTATGTGTGGTGGTGGGATAGAAATTTTGATTGTAATGTGGTAATGGGAGACTTTCTATTATTTTACTGCAATAGTCGTCATTTTGATTGTATGAGAATTTATGTAAACCTCAATGAAGCCTCTAAAGATTAGATAATCAGTCGAGGAAAAAGCATAAAATTTAATCCTAGAAGAATTAATGCCTTTTACCAGTTAAAAGATTTTGTTAATTTAAAATACGCTTCATTTGAGACTTTCGAATCGATGTTAGATGAGGTTATTTCATTTTTGACTAATGGAAGGGGAACTTGGAAAGTAAAGAACAATCGCATGGTAAACTTCATTACTTCTATGTTGAATGAACACTCCAAAGCATGGAACTATTTTATTTCTACAAGTCTTCTTCCTTCTATTCATCTTAGTTAAGTATTAAAGGACGAGCCACATTGAACTAATATATTCAATAAGGTAAACCAATAAATATTGGCTCTCTTATTTACGAAAAATCCTTATTTCTTCACGAAGGAAAAATACTAGAGGTTTAGGGTATCCCACTTTGATCTTTACTATCTATGAGCAATCTGATGTTACAAATGAGAGATGGGAGGAACTTTTCCAACCTCCTAAGCCCGTCAGTAGGCCAAATGTGCATACTTATGAATTACATACTGCGTTCAGAACTAGAGGTGAAAGCACTAATGTTCCTTCTACCTCTGCTTGAGAACATCTACTTCTACGTCAAGACCTTCTACATCTAGTAATACATCACTGGATTTAGTAATGGAGCAACTATTTATACAACAAGGACATATTGTGACATTATAGAATTAAGTGAAAAGCATCAAAGATCACCTGCACCGTAATGATGAGTATACCTAGAAGAGAGCGGAGTTTGATAAGCTTATCATGAGGCGATGGTGAAATCCATGAGTGGCGGTAACACAGTGGAATTTCTTACATACCCCAGGTTTACACCTTATGAGAGTGGAGACATTGAGGAGGATATATGTTTTTAAGAGTAAGAAGAAGATGATTATAGTAATGAGGAATAGTAGTTTGATTAATATATTTATGGATGGAGTTTAGTTTAGTATAGTTTTGTGTTTGTGATGTTTACTT